GTTTGTCTCACATCTCAAGACTACCGGCGCTGCAAATGCTTGTCATCGAGAGTTGGGATGAAAGCACTAATCTCTCGGATATTGATTTCAATGATTTGTTGTCGAGAAGTCCTAAACTCAAGAACATTAAAACATATCAATCTTATGTCTGGAAATATTATTGCCGTCAAAACAATTGATCCATTAATTGCTAATTAAATTCAATGTCTTTCTGTTCTTAACATTTAATTGTATTTCAATTACTAATGATTTCAAAATTTTGTTCAATTTATTCATAAAATAAAAATTTGATTCAATTATAAACACAAATATTTTTGTTAATCCTATTCAACATTTTATTCATTCATTTAACTTAAATAACAATTAGTTTGTAATAATAACGAGTGTTGACTGTATTTTTGATTACGCGCGCAAAACGTTTATGAAATTCACAAATATTTTCACAACAAACGCATACAAACTGTACTCTTATTATACGGACTGTTATATAGTTTTGTTATACAATTTGTGTTCACTTTTTGTAGAAAACATTCCAATAATTCAGTCTATATTCGAGACGTTATTAGTATTTGAATTGAAAATTGAATCAAAAAGTGAATGAGATTTCAGTTATTGTTTGGGTTTTCAATCAATTCATTCAAACAATCACTTCATTTGATCCCAAGATATGACACAACAAATGAAATATAAGAAGACATCACTCGAGACCACAGATGACGGCAATGAAGACATCAGTCAACAGGTATTTCACAAACAATTCACTGTTTATTGAGTTTTAATTGTTTTTATTTCGTATTTTAGACACAAATGTATGCCAAAGACTCTTTGGATCGATTCGGTGATGATTTGTGTGAACTTCTCTTGTCTTATCTCTCACTCGAAGATCGGTTTCGATTTGAATGTCTGTCCAAACAGTTCCAGAGGGCAGTCTTCACGAGTGTTGTGAACATCACTCTTAGCGACGGATTTATACAGAGATTAGTGACAAATGCGAAGACAATTGACACCCAATTGTTGGCCACAATTGCCATAAAGTGTCCAAACATTGTGATCATTGACTGTCGAGGAATGCATTCATTTGTTGCAGACATTCCTAAAGCGTTGAAAACATTTCGAGATAATTGTCTTCATTTGCGAGAAATTTATTGCAATTTAAGGCAAAATAGCGGACAAACAATGGCTACAATCGGACCACTGGTCACACGAATCAATGTTATCGGCAGTTATAGCGACACTCAATCACTCACTCATTGCCACCGATTGTCTCATTTGAGTGCCAGTAGTTTGAGTCAAGTGTTTGACACTTCCGGACAACTAATGACAAAGAATTTGAATACATTTGAAATACAATTCAATTCAGACGACGATTACCACCGATTGTCTGCATTCGTGGCGCAGAACGAGTCACTCAAATGTCTTGACGTTATGTGTGTTTTACGTGTGTCTGAAGAGACACTGACCGCACTGTCGGCACAATTGTCACGATTTACACAATTACGGCAATTGAGTCTCGCGTTGAACATAACTGGCGCTCAAACCTCACTCACCGACACTTTGCGCACAATTGGCGTGAATTGTAAACAATTGCAACGATTGTCACTTCAGTTGTCGCACACCGATAGCCATGGATTCAATCGTAAGACATTGGATTCGTTACGATTTTGTCACCGATTAAAACGATTGCGTTTAACAATATGTGTGGACATCGATGAGAAATTGTTGGAACCGTTGCGACACTGCAAGAGATTAACGCATTTAGAGCTCTATATAAGCGAAATGACAGCAAATGTGTTGAAAGATTTGCACATAAAGTGTCCGCGACTTCAATACCTATGCATTCAAGACTTCAATAACACGATAGACACCGAGTGTTTGTCTCACATCTCAAGACTACCGGCGCTGCAAATGCTTGTCATTCATTTCGATGAATCTGACGCAGAATCTGATAATCTCTCGGATAATGATTTTTATGATCTGTTGTCCAGAAGTCCTAAACTAAAGACCATTGAATCAAATAAATTCCTTGTCCACAGTTTTTATAGCCGTAGAAATAATTCGAAAATAATACATTCAAAATTATTTAACAAATACATTAAGTGCTAATTAAATTCAATTACTTTCTGTTCTTAACATTTAATTGTATTTCAATTACTATTTATTTCAAAAATTTGTTCAATTTATTCATATAATAAAAATTTACTCAATTATAAAACACAAATATTTTTGTTAATCTTATTCGACGTCTTATCCATTAATTTAACTTAAATACCGATTAGTTTGTAATATAAACGAGTGTTGACTGTATTGTAATAAACAGTTTTTCAAACAATTTTCACAACAATTGCATACAAAGTGTACTCTTATTATACGGACTGTTATATAGTTTTGTTATACAATTTGTGTTCACTTTTGTAGAAAATATGTTAAAAATACAATTGAAGTCTATATTGGAGTCTAGAAAATAAAAAGTGAATTAAATTTCAGTTATTGTTTGGGTTTTCAATCAAATCATTCAAACAATCACTTCATTTGATCCCAAGATATGGCGCAACACATGAAACACTTGAAGACATCACTCGAGACCACAGATGACGGCAATGAAGACATCAGTCAACAGGTATTTCACAAACAATTGACTGTTTATTAAGTTTTAATTGTTTTTATCTCATATTTTAGTCACAAATCTATGCGAAAGACTCTTTGGATCGATTCGGTGATGATTTGTGTGCACTTCTTGTGTCTTATCTCTCACTCGAAGATCGGTTTCGATTGGAATGTGTGTCCAAACAGTTCCAGAGGACAGTCTTCACGAGTGTTGTGGACATTACTCTTAGCGACCGATTTATGCAAAGATTACTGACAAAAGCGAAGACAATTGACACTCAATTGTTGGCCACAATTGCCATAAAGTGTCCGAAGATTGAGACCATTGACTGTCGAGGAATGCGTTCAAATATTGCACTCATTCCTAAAGCCATGAAAACATTTCGAGACAATTGTCTTAATTTGCGGGAAATTTACTGCAATTTATCGGGAATTAGTGGACAAACAATGCATACATTGTGGCCAATGATCACACGAATCGGTGGCAATACATACTATGATGTGTACAGACAAGCGCTCACTCGTTGCCACCGATTGTCTCATTTAATAGTCCATCGGTTATACCATGTCTTTAACGCATATTCAGACACTTCCGGACAACCTTTGGCCAAGAATTTGCATAATTGTGAATTGTATTACTATTACTATAATGACAACCAATTGTCTGCATTCGTGGCACACAATCAGTCCCTAAGAAGTCTTGACATAAAATATATGGAATATAAGACCAACGCGTTGTGGATGGAAATGTGCGGACAATTGTCACGATTAACACAATTACGGCAATTGAAACTCGGTTTGGATCTAATGAATGACGACAACTCATTGGCCGACTTTTTGCACACAATTGGCGTGAATTGCGGACAATTGAAACGATTGTCACTCCGATTGTTCTCACGTCTGAACGAAACCAATGTTCAGACATTGCATTCTTTGCAATATTACAGACAATTAAAACGATTGGATTTGAGATTCAATGCGACCGCCGATGAGATATCGTTGGAACCGTTGAGACACTGCCGACGGTTAACACATTTAGACATCTATTTGAGAGGAATGAACGCAAATGTGTTAACAATTATCCGCACAAATTGTCCACAACTGCAATATCTATGCATTCATGAGACCTATTGTTTGCCACACATTCCAACACTAATCGGTATTTCTTCACTTGTCATTGAAAGCCATCCCAAGACTCATCTCTCAATTTTCGATTCAATTCGTTTGTAATAATAACGAGTGTTGACTGTATTGTAATAAAATAGTTTTTCAAACAATTTGAACAACAATTGAATACAAAGTGTACTCTTATTATACGGACTGTTATATAGTTTTGTTATACAATTTGTGTTCACTTTTTGTAGAAAACATTCCAATAATTCAAACAGAAGTCTATATTCGAGACGTAATTAGTGTTTGAATTGAAAAGTGAATCAAAAAGTGATTGACTTTTGTCTCGGATTTGAAANTTTGAAATTCAATTTTGAATCAAACGTTTCGTTCAATCATTCAATTGATCCCAAGATATGGCCCAACAGTTGACACAAATGATGGCATCACTCGAGACCACAGATGGCTGTGAAGACAGACAACAGGTATTTGTTAAACAATTCACAGTTTATTGAATTTAAATTGTTTTTGATTCACATTTTAGCCACAGATTTACGCGAAGAACTCAATGGACAGATTCGGTGATGATTTGTGTGAACTTCTGTTGTCTTACCTGTCATTTGAAGATCGGTTTCAATGCGAATGTGTGTCCAAACAGTTCCGGAGGACAGTCTTCGGGAGTGTTGTCTGCATTGATATCAACGACCGATTTATACATAGATTATTGATTAACAATACAATTGACACCCAATTGTTGGCCACAATTGCCATAAAGTGTCCGAACATTGAAACCATTGACTGTCGAGGAATATGGATGTCAGAGAATAGGGAACACATTCCCGAAATGTTGGCCATAATTCGAGACAATTGTCTTAATTTGCGGGAAATTTCGTGCAATTTATGGCAAAATAGCGGACAAACAATGCCTACAATCGGACCACTGGTCACACGAATCGATGTTACCGATGATTATATCGACATTCAATTACTCACTCATTGCCACCGATTGTCGCATTTGAAAGTCTTTTGTTTGAGTCAAGTCTTTGACACTTCCGGACAACTAATGGCAAAGAATTTGAATACATTTGAGTTAAATAACTATTCAGCCGATGATTACTACCGATTGTCTGCATTCGTGGCACAGAATCAGTCCCTCAAATGTCTTGTCGTCAAAATGTGTAAACTTGAAACTTATGAAACACTGACCGAAATGTGTGAACATTTGTCACAATTAACACAATTACGGGAATTGAGACTTAATATAATTATATCGACTTATATTAAGTCATTGGACGACACTTTGCGTCCAATTGGCGTGAATTGCAAACAACTGAAACGATTGTCACTCCAGTTCTGTGACTTCAGCCATATTTATGAATTCAATGGCCAGACATTGGATTCGTTGCGATATTTCCGGCGATTAAAACGATTGCATTTATCCATAACTCCGACCGTCAATGAGATAGTGTTGGAACCGTTGAGACACTGCCGAAGGTTAACACATTTAGACATATTTTTAAAGCCAATGAATGCAAAAGCGGTGGAAATTGTCTGTAATAATTGTCCACAACTCCAATACCTATACATTCATAACATGCATAACAATAAAGATATCGAGTGTTTGTCACACCTCTCAAGACTACCGGCGCTGCAAACGCTTGTCATTCAATGCAAAGGCGATAATCTCTCGGACAATGATTTCTGGGATCTGTTGTCCAGAAGTCCTAAACTAAAGTGCATTAAAACAATTCAATACAATTGCACAAAATTGTATTTCCGTAAAAACAGTTCATTCATTAATTATTAATATAATTTCAATCGGTTTGCATTTAAATGTATTTAAATTACTATTTATTCTACAATTTTGTTCAATTTATTCATAAAATAAAAATATGATTCAATTATAAACACAAATATTTTTGTTAATCCTACGAATCAAAGTCTCATTCATTAATTTAATTTAAATATCAATTCGTTTGTAATAATAACGAGTGTTGACTGTATTGTTAATAACGCGCGCAAAAAGTTTATAATATTTACAAATATTTTCACAACAAATGCATAGAAACTGTACTCTTATTATACGGACTGTTATATAGTTTTGTTATACAATTTGTGTTCACTTTTTGTAGAAAACATTCCAATAATTCAAACAGAAGTCTATATTCGAGACGTAATTAGTGTTGGAATTGAAAAGTGAATCAAAAAGTGATTGAAATTCAATTTTTGAATCAAACGTTTCGTTCAATCATTCAATTGATCCCAAGATTTGGCGCAAAAGTTGACACAAATGATGGCATCACTCGAGACCACAGATGGCTGTGAAGACAGACAACAGGTATTTGTTAAGCAATCGACTGTTTATTGAATTTAATTTGTGTTTTTATCTCACATTTAGCCACAGATTTACGCGAAGAACTCAATGGACAGATTCGGTGATGATTTGTGTCAACTTCTGTTGTCTTATCTCACATTTGAAGATCGGTTTCATTTGGAATGTGTGTCCAAACAGTTCCGGAGGACAGTCTTCGAGAGTATTGTTTGCATTGAAATCAACGATCGATTTATGCGACAAATACTGAACACAACGATCACTGAAACGTTGGCCACAATTACCATAAAGTGTCCTAAGATTGAGACCATTGACTGTCGAAGAATGAGAGGACAATATGAAGTACACATTCCCGAAGTGTTGACCACTTTTCGTCACAATTTCCGACATTTGCGGCACATTTACTGCAATTTATTGCAAAATAGCGGACAAACAATGCCTACAATCGGACCACTGGTCACACGAATTGATGTTATGGTCGATAATATCGACACTCAATCACTCATCCATTGCCACCGTTTGTCTCATTTAAGTCTCTATCGTTTGAGTCAAGTCTTTGACACTTCCGGACAACTAATGGCAAAGAATTTGAATAAATTTGAGTTACATTTCTATTCAGCCGATTATTACCACCGATTGTCTTCATTTGTGACACACAATCAGTCACTCAAATGTCTTAACGTTTACGATAACAGGTGTGTATCTGAAGAGTCACTGACCGGACTGTCGGAACAGTTGTCACGATTACCACAATTATGGGAATTGAGACTCGCGTTGGACATAACCGGCGCTCAAACCTCATTCACCGACTCTTTGCGTACAATTGGCGTGAATTGCAAACAATTGCAACGATTGTCACTCCAGTTGTCGCACACCGATAGCCATGGATTCAATCCCAAGACATTGGATTCGTTGCGATTTTGTCACCGATTAAAACGATTAGAGTTACGCATATATGCGGACATCGATGAGATATCATTGGATCCGTTGCGACACTGCAATAGATTAACGCATTTAGAGCTCGATTTGCCGCGAATGACAGCAAATGTGTTGAAAGATTTGCATATAAAGTGTCCGCGACTTCAATACCTATACATTGAAAGCTCGAATCACTTCATAGACACCAACGTTAAGACACAGTTGTCTCACATCTCAAGACTACCGGCGCTGCAAATGCTTGTCATTCAATGCAATCCATGCACTGATATCTCAGATAATGATTTCAATGATCTGTTGTTGAGAAGTCCTAAACTCAAGACTATTAAAGCATATCAATCCTGGAATGTCTGGAAATTTTATTGCCGTCAAAACAATTGATCCATTGATTGCTAATTAAATTTAATTTCTTTCTGTTCTTAACATTTATTTGTATTTCAATTACTAATTATTTCAAAATTTTGTTCAATTTATTCATAAAATAAAAATTTGATTCAATTATAAAACACAACTATTTTTGTTAATAAGTTTTTGAATCACTTTTTATTCGACCATTAATTACGTATTTAATATATAATTTGCCTCAAATTTATGCCACATTTCTATTTGTGATACTTATATCGACAGTCGTTTGTATTACGTTTGCATTTCAATTGTCTGCACTCAACGGCCATAACATGAGTACAGTTTGTATTCATTTCCTGTAGAAATGTTTTCCAATAGATTTTCACAATACAGTCGACTCTCGTTTCGATTTTACATTTGTTGTCATTCATTAAAGCATTGTTTTTGACATTTGTTTTGATTTGAAAACAATTTTTAAATTCAATTTCAATTAAACGTTTCGTTCAATCACTTCATTGGATCCCAAGATATGGCACAACAGTTGACACAAATGATGGCATCACTCGAGACCACAGATGACGGCCAAAGAGATCAGAGAAAAGAGGTTTTTGTGAATCATTTGTATATTTATTGAGTTTTAATTATTTTTACTCATTTTAGACACAGATATACGCGAAGAACTCAATGGACAGATTCGGTGATGACATGTTTGGACTCATATTATCCTATCTCTCACTCGAAGATCGGTTTCGATGCGAATGTGTGTCCAAACAGTTCCAGAGGACAGTCTTCGGGAGTGTTGTGGACATCACTCTTAGCGATAGATTAATTCGCAAATTATCTCACGAGAAGAGAATTAAAACCCAATTATTTGCCAAAATTGCCATAAAGTGTGTAAACATTCAAACCATTGACTGTCGAGGAATAACAGCTGAATATAACGGACGTATTCTCGAAGTGTTGAACGCATTTCGAGACAATTGTCATAATTTGCGTGAAATATATTGTAATCCAAACCGAAATATGGGTCAAACAATGGGTTCTTTGTGGCCACTAATCACCCGAATCGGCGACATTAAGGCCTATATCAGCGACAGTCAAGTGACTGATATTTACCACCGATTGTATCGATTGATTATGAATTTGTTGGATGAAGTCTTTGACAAAACTACCGGCCAATTGATGGCAAAGAATTTAAAGGAATTTGAGTTAAATTGCATTTTATATGATAATAACCACCGATTGTCTACATTTGTGGCACACAATCAGTCACTAAGAAGTCTTTATGTGAGCAATAATTTATACCATAATTACCAAAATGTGACCGAAATGTGCGGACAATTGTCACTATTAACACAATTACGGGAATTAACAGTCAATTTAGTCACAACTGAAAATGTCTACTTTGGACTAAACCATTACACAACTCATAGTCACATCTCTTTCGGTGACATTTTGATGACAATTGCCGTGAATTGCAAACAATTGAAACGATTGTCATTTGTTTTCCACTCCAGAAGTAAAGACTACACTCTCAAGACATTGGATTCGCTGCGCTATTTCAGGCGATTAAAACGATTGCGTTTAACACTTTATGTGACCGTCGATGAGATATTGTTGGAACCGTTGAGACACTGCCGACGGTTAACGCATTTAGACATCGATTTTATACAAATGAACGCAAAAGTGGCCGAAATTGTAGTCAAATGTTGTCCACGGCTTCAATACCTATGCGTTCATTACAAGACATGCTCTATAAACACACAGTTTTTGGATCACATCTCAAGACTACCGGCGCTCCAAATGCTTGTCATTCAATGCCATGGATTCACTCTTTTCAATGATATTGATTTCTGGAATCTGTTGTCTTCGAGTCCTAAACTCAAGACAATTGAAATCCGTGTAAACAATGAGAAGAAGTTTTATTCAAAATCAAAATAAGTATTCAATTAAATTAATTATACACTAAATGTTATTTACTATTCAGTGCTGTTTCAATGGGTGTAGCTCCTTAACGAATAATCCAAATTTTGTTCTCTCTTCACTAAATTGAACAAAAACTCACCAGAAGTTATCTCCCTGAATGG